TGTGTGTGCAGGAGTGGATGTGTGTGATGTGTGTGCAGGAGTGGATGTGGATGCGTGTGCAGGAGTGGATGCGTGTGATGTGTGTGCAGGAGTCGATGTGGATGCGTGTGCAGGAGTGGATCTGTATGCAGGAGTGGATGTGTGTGCAGGCGTGGGTATGTGTGCAGGAATGTGTGACAGTGTTTACCTTCCATACTTCCTTTTTCCTCTCTCCTTCCCGTGAACTCCTGGTTCCCAGGTGCCCCGCTTGCTCCACAACATCCTTACCCACCAGAAGGCCCCTGGCTCTGCAATGCCACCTGCAGCTGCCCAGCCCTCCACCCATGGGGCCCTTGTTCCACCTGCCACCGCTCATGAAACTGGATCACTCAGCTCTTCACTGGCTCGCCTGTGGCTACTGCCTCAGTTTACCTGTGCAGTTGTCCCTGGCTATCTGGCTGGGTAGGACTTGCGCTTAGAAGCAGTCTGCTCCCTGTGTCCTAAGGCCAGGGAAACTGTGTCCTAAGGCCAGGAGGTGGCAGCCTCTGCCCTCCTGAGACAGGGACCTGTGAGCAGCCTGGCTCTGTGGCTTGGAGCCTGGGGGTCCCCTGACCTGTCTGTGAGCACTGCCCCTCCCATCAGGGAGGCACTCAAGAGGTTCCCACCTGTGTCACAGGGAGTGGGGCCTGGAGCCTGAAGAGACCTGTGGGGGCCACATGAGCACCTGAATTCAGCTCCTCTCTGTCCTTTCCCCTGATTCTGAAATTGTCCCCACAGCGCAGGTGCACCAAGGGAGCTGCCTTTGCAGCCTGTCCTGAGCCCAGGGAGGAGAAGGGCGGCTCCCCTTCGCCCTAGGCCTAGGTCAACTGGGTGGGCCCAAAGGGACTTCTGAACCCCCACTGCCCAGGCAGCCCCCTTTCCCTAGATGCCCCCTGGCCTGTCCCCTGAGAGCCAAGCCAAGCCCATATTCAAACAGGGCTCTGGGGTCTGGGTGCCGCCCTGCTCCCAACCAGGGAGGTTCTGGGCACGGTTGCCTGGACCTTCCCTCTCAGTGCCATGGACTGCTGCCCCCGCTGCCCAACCCCAGAGGGCAGTGATGGGCACCCTGCTTTTCCCTGCCCCATCCTGGGAGCCTAGGCCTTGCCCTCAGTAGAGGCAGATGGGACCCAGGGATGGCTGCCCCTGCATAGACATGGCTGCCTCCTGGGGGAGTCTAAGGGACCCAACACCTGCGTCACAGATGCAAGGGACAGACTGTAGGTGAGGCATCTCCATCCACATCCACGCTGAGCCACGCACTAGCATGTGGGGCCGGGCACCACCAAGCCTGCTGTCCCACCTGGGCCACCCCAGCCTGGGCTTAGACTCAGCACCCCGTGGGGGTGGAGGAGTGGGGCAGGGGAAGGAGGTGCCCGGGGCAAAAGCCGGATGTCTTCAGAGTGACCCTCTGGGGCTGGGCAGGGCTGGGGACGGGGGAAAGGCCTGCTGGCAGAAAAGCGCGCACTGTCCCCTCCGCCGAATGGTCCCCACACTCCCTGTGCAGAAGAGGCAGCCTGCAGGGCAGAAGCTTCCAGCCCCATTCCTGGTGGCCAGCGTGCTTTACTTGGCCCTTGATGAAGAGAATAGTTCTGACAGGCGGCTGCGGTGAGCTCCTGGCACCTTCGAAGCTTCGGCGTTGCCTCTCCAGGAACCTAGACGTGGACACTCGTCCCCATTCAGGCCAGACTCCGAGGCTCAAGGGTCAAGGCCCAGGCCCGTTGCCAGGATGCCCTCTCTCTGGGACAGGTGTAAGGCCCCTTGGGAGGGGTGTGAAGTTGCAGAGGATCTTTAAGCAGAGTGAGGAATAGGGAGGAGAAGGCTTTAGGAGGCTACAGCCCATGCTCTCTGGGTCACCAGTTGCCAGCCGTGTCCCCCTCCCCCGCTTTGGGGAGAGGCCAAGGACCCCAGGATGGGAGGGAACGTGCAGTGGGGGCTCACCCAGCGCTGCCCAGCCTGAGGGTCCCTCCCATGGGGGCTGCACCCCTACATCTGCTGGGGTAGCCTCTGCTTAGGGTGGTTTCAGGTGAGCTCTGATACGTCAAACACCACCACCAGGAGCAGGGCAGACAAAAGAAAAGTGAGCTGATCGGAGTGTCCCAGTTGGGGGCTCACAGCCTTGAAGGAGGGCAGGGCACAGCCCAACGGGGTTGGCCGCGAGGCCCTGGGCCTGTGGCTGAGGTTGCATCTGGCATTGGCAGCGATTGGAACAGGCCGGCCCACGGAGCCCTGTGGCCTTGGCCAGTGGCTCATGGTGCCACAGGAACTGGAGCAATGGGTGGCCTCCCTTGTCCAGTGTCTGAGTCAAGGAGGACTGGGTCCTTCCCCTAGGAAGGACCCTGCCCTACTCCTGCAATTTACATTGTTCCTGTTTCCCCCAATCTCCCCCCAGGGACCTACGGCCATTTGCTGGGGTGGCTCGTTTGGAAAGGGGGATCATCAGACTCAGAGGGATAACTGGACACTGGCTCGAACCTGCCACCCACTCCTGGGGACACAAACATCCCTTAGATCTAATAGTCAGAGGAGGGGCATGTGGAGGCCAGGTTGCCCACGGAGTTCTAGCTCAGGTCCAACTCTTGGTGGGTGCAGACATTACTTCCCCAGCCTGTGACGGGTCAGTAAACAGATATGTGGCAGCCAACAGAGCCCTCACATTTGTCCGCTGACCTGGGGGTTGGAGACTACTATGGTGGGAAAGGCCAAGTGGAAGCCATTGGGGTGGGAAAATCATCAGTCAAAAGCAATCCGCAGCTCTGGAGGGACCACAGAGGTCAGCGCTGCCACTGAGGACTTGGAAGATGCTGGGCGGCGACCCCACCACAGCCCCATGCACTTGTCTAAGTGGTTTGTGCAGAAGACAGGGGGCTCCTGGAGAAAGAAGGACAGTGAATTCTGGTAAACTTAACCAGGACTCCAGCTGCAGCTGCTGTTTCAGATGTGACTGCTGATCGCCAGGGGAAATCAAAGCATCCCCAGACACCTGGTGTACAATCACTGATCTGGCGGAAGCTTTGATTTTTAAAAGAGATTTTAAGTCTTAGAGCAGTTTGAGGTTTACAGAGAAATTGAGCAGATTTGAGATTTCTCATAAAGCACCTCTCCCTACACAGTTTCCCTATCATCAATATCTTGAATCAGTGTTTACATCTTTACAACTGATGAGCCAATATTGATCCAGTCATTGATCAGGTTACATGAGGGTTCCCTCTTGGTGTTGTACATTCTGTGGGTTTCGGCAAATGCATGATGGCATGTGTCCACTATTATAGTGTCACGCAGAATTATTTCACTGCCCTAAAATCTGTCTGTGCTCCATTTATTCTTCCCTCCCTCCCCACTAACTCCGGGAAAACCACTGATCTTTTGACTGTGTGCGAAGTTCTGCCTTTTCCAAAATGTCACATAGTGGGAAGTTATACAATCCGAAAAGGCAGGGAGACTTCTTCAGATTGGCCGCTTTCACTTAGCGACATACACTTAAGGTTCCTCCACATCATTTCATGGCATGATAGCTCATTTCTCTTTATCACTGAATAATATTCCATTGCTTGCATATACTAGAATTTGTTTATCCATTCACCTATTGAAGCACTTCCTGGTTGCTTCCAAGTTTTGACAATTATAAATAAAGTTGTACAAACATGAATGTGAAGGTTGTTGGGTGGACGCACGTTTTTAGCTTATTTGGGTAAACACCTGAGGCTAGGTTGTATGGTAAGATTGTTTGCCTTTGTAAGAAACCACCATTAATTAGGTCATTCCTACATGGATCAGGATATCACATCTGAGCTGCCTCCAAGATCCAAAGACACCCACGAGGCAGTGTGCTTCCCAGATGGCTGGATTGTATGGTAAGACCATGTCTGGCTTTGTAAGAAACCACCAAACTGTCTTCCGAAATGGCTGTCTCATGTTGCATTTCCACCAGCTATGACAGAGTTCCTGTTGCCCCATGCTCTTGCCACCATTTGGGGATGTCAGTGTTTTGGATTTTGGCCATTCTTATCGGCAGCTCATTGTTGTTTTAATGTGCAATACCCTAAAAATCTCTTTTTATCAGCCTATTTGCCATCTGTATACCTTCTTTGGTGAGGTGTCTGTTCATAACTTTTCCTATTTTTACATTCAGTTGTTTGTTTTTTGTTGTTGAGTTTAAGAGTTCTTTGACTACTTTGGAGGCAAGTCGTTTATTAGAGATGTGTTTTGCAAAGATTTTCTCCCAGTCTGTGGCTTGTCCTTTCATTCTTTGAACAGTGTCTTTTGCAAAGTAGAGCCCTTTATGTTATTGAAGTCCAGCCTATCAGCCGTGATCCAGTGAATGCTTTTGATTCCTTGATACCTCTGAGTAAAGGCCACCAAAAGCTGGTTGCTTTTAGCTGGTAAGGGCAGCAATACACATGCACGGTCCTGTTCTGGGGTAGAGTATACCAGCTCTGTGTCATAATCCAGCCCACAGCGACTTTGACCAGCTTTCCCTTCCACAGCCATCGGCTGGCCCATCACACTGATGATGGCAACTGATCGTGGTGCAGAACTTGTGAGCAAATGTGGTGAGCAGAACTGGCATTGACTCAAGGACAACGTGATAACATGGTGTGTGCTGGGAGGTGGGGAATGAATCCCACGAAAATCGGGGCGGGGGCCTGACCCTTTGATGAAACTGCTGGGGGTCCAGTGGTCTGGGGCATGCTATGATTTACCTCTGGTCCTTCCTTCTACCTAAGAGGAAGCACGGTGCCTCATGGGTGTCTTTGGATCTTGGAGGCGGCTCAGTTGTGATATCCTGACCCATGTAGGAATGGCCTAAAATGCTGTCTGCTTTCTGTGAGTCCCAGAACAAGAGAAGGCTCTGCCGCAAGTGGAAATGAAAGCTGCTGAGCCACTGGAGCCACACGACCAGCAGATGCCACAGCATTGGAGGTGTCTGTGGCAGATAAGCATGCTGTGTGGGGGCCGTGGCAGGCTCCTGCAGGTGAAGCCCAACCCAGGGTCCTTAGGATTTTGGAGTCACGCTCTGCTATCCTCTGTGGACAACTCTGTGGATTGCATCCAGGCCTCCATAGAGACTGGACACATAACTGCAGGCCACCAAGTCACCATATGGCTGGAACTGTACATCGTGAGTGGGATGTTGCTGGACCCAGCGAACACGGAGTTGGGTGTGCACAGCTGTGTTCTGTGGTCTGTCAAGTGGAAGTAGCATATACAACCCCGGGCTCAGGCAGGCCCTGAAGGCGCGACCAAGTTACATGAAAAAGTGGCTCCATTAGCCACAGTCCTGACTCCTGCCATTCCACGGTCATTCTCCCAGCCAGCACCTGTGGCTTCCTGGGAAGCTCCCTGCAGCTTGATCATTGCAGAAGAACAAGTCCGGTCCCAGCTTACAGATGCTTCTGCGGGACACACACGGATGGCCACAGAGCTCAGCCCCGTTGAGCACCAATGGTGAAGGGAAGCGCTCCCAGCGGGCAGAACTCCCAGCAGGGCCCTGGCTGCTTTCCCTGTGCCTGGAAGGAGA